GCTGGATAAGTTTTGAGGAAATGAAGCACTGAAAAATCCTGCCTTCACAAGGAGGATCAATGGGTGAGAGGAACAAGATAATCTGAGATACCTGTGTCCCTTTGTGAGTTCTGGGGTACAAGTGCAAAGGAAGGGTTTAATTAACTTCTCCATAAGTATAGTTAATGTATGTATTAAAACTATCTCAAAACAAGAAAAGTATCCTCAAAAGCCTTGTTTCAGCTAAGGGATTAATTCCTAATTTTAATTGTGGGATTATTCAAATGCAGAAAGAGTCTTTTAGATATTAAAGGCATTTCTAGCTGGCTTTCAGTGCATTACCACAGGGAGTCTTAGAATCCAATTATCTCTGAAGAAATATGTTAAATATGCTCATTAACATGTAAAAAAGTGGAAACAAGTATTAGAGAAAAGCTGATGTATTACACTTCTTAATGTCACAATGAATTAGCAATAAAGAAGGTTGCAACAGAAATAACTTGCTGAAATGCCTAGGCAGCATAGGAAAATAAAGCATTTTATTCCAATTAGCTTAATTCCCGATAATGACACAGATATAGCGATAAAACTCTCTGTATGATGGGCTCCAGCCCTGGGAAAGTTTAGGAATCTTGCTTCGTGCATGGAACAAGGCAAGAAAAGGGAGTTAAGCCTGAACCTCAGTGTAAACTGCCCTCAGCTCTCAGCAGGCAAAAGAAAGGAGGAAACAAGAGGAGGAAGAGGCAAAAGGAGGCGTGTTAGGAAGGCAATGCCAACAGATAAAACCTCTGGGTCCCACGGCTGCACAGAGTGCGGGCACTAACCAGGAATTTGCTTTTTCTTTTAACCTCCCAAAGCAAGCCCCATCCATTCGAGCCCCAAAGCCTTCCAGCCCTCCAAAACCCATATGTAAATGCTTTCTCACATTAAACCTTCAGTGCAGCACTTTTCCCTCCTTCATCAGTGCTAACCTACACTTCTGCTCTTCCCTGCTGAGCAGGAACAGAGTCATGCAGGAATAAACAGTAATTTTCTGCCTTATTTTTTGTTGAGAAACCTGACCACTCTGACCTAACTCCCACCCCCTTGAGCCCCTGACCTTAAACACCCCCAAGTCCTAACACCAGCTCAACACCAGACCCTGCCATTACTGCCTGACACGCTCACCACTCCCCCCTGCCTGCCAGCAACGCTTTTTCTGTGCCCCCTTCCCTCCCAACGCCTCTTTCATCTGCTTCTTCCTTTCCTCCCCACTAACCAAGTGTTGAGCAATTTTCCAGATCCACAAGGTCTTCAAGCAGAAGAGAAGAAAATAAACCTGGGCTGTCTGAGGAGGCAGCAGTTTTCTAGTTATATTTTAAAAAAAAATAATTTCAGGCGAGATTGGTTTACCTGAAGTTTTACACACTAAAATACAGCAGGAGAAATTTAACCATGACCAAAGTTGTAGATCTTCGGCAATCACCATGGTGGTAATAACAGCTACTAAATTATTTTAAAGCTCTTGTGTAACCATACTTAGATTTTCCACACCTTTCTTTCTTTTCTGCACATCTGACATGAAACTTGCTCCAAATGACCATGCCAAAGTCCCAGTGCTGCCATGAGCCAGATGTCACCTCCAGCTTCACCCAGCCCTGGTGCACATCACTCCTGCAAACCCATCGCAGCTGCGCAGCCCGCAGCCGCCCCTCGTGTGAATGCACAGACCAGCGTGCTTAGAATATCCTTTTGCCCAAGAAACAGAAAGAAAGGTGGACTGGACAGATGTGGATAAAATTAAGCAATCAAACTTCTTAAAGGAAGCAACCAGAGAGCATTTTACCAGCAGCCTAAGCTTAAGTACACACTGCCTATCCAGAGAAGCTGGTTTGCCCAGTGCCCCAATGCAGACGTGAGCTCAGAAAACAGAGCTCCTTCAGCAAATACACCTCAAATGTTTGTGAGTATTAGTGGAGTTTGCCAAGTAAACAAAGTGCTGCAGACTTGTTCCCTCCACCACCACACCATGCACCTTACCTCCATGTCTCCATGGTAAATCCACCTTGGAAAGCCAGCCCCAATTAACGTGCATTTTGGCTGCTTTGAACACAGACTCCCAAAGTATTTATTCTTCTCTCAAGTGTGGGTGGCATGACAGGGGAAGGAGTGATCCATCATGCTAAAGTGAGATGCTGCCCCTCCTGCCCCAAAATTTGAGCTGTGGCGCTAACGATGCCTTTCCAGCACCAGCACAGCTTGAAGGGCTTGGGGAGCCCAGGAATCTCTAACCACGTGGGACACAGCCTTAGAGGCTGCTAGCCCCTTTTGATACTGGGTAAAACCAGAGAAATTGGAGCTCAAGCTTTATCTCAGCCAAAGGCATCATGAGCTAATTGTATTAAGCAGTTTGGCTGTACTGGAGGAGCAGGTTTTGGGGTAAAGAGCAGCACAAATGTTGCTTTTCTGTGGTAGAGGAACTCCTAGGAAGATCAGCTTCTTTCCAGACCTTTTCAGAGAGCAACCCCTCCCAGCCCCATCCCAATCCTGTCCAACCCCCCCAGCATCATTACAAACCAGGTGTGAGCCTGTGCAAAGCCTCCCCTCCTGTTTCACAGATCTCAAGGCAGTGCTGCTGAGGTTTCATGTGATTTCGTTAGCACAAGTCTCAGAAGCACCTGCCCTCCACTCCCTGGATTCAATGTGATTTATTGCAAGCTCTGCTAAATGTGATGTTTTTCTCTTTTCTGGTCTGCAGCACTTTTAATTCCTTCACATATCATTTGACCCTCTAACCTTTTCTGCTTCATAAAGCATGTATGAAATCCTGTACAACATAAACCTGGTTGTCTACAAGAGGAGAAACCACCCTGCTCAGGGTCCAGGTGGTTTGACTAGAAATAACTTCAGCAAGAACACCCTAAACACTTCTGCCTCTCCAAGGTGCCCCTAGTGATTGTCCCCTCCCCTCGCTGCAGCTTGATGAGAAGGTTAGCAGCAAACATGCCACGTGTTGGAGGAAAGTGGTGAGTTTCCATGCAGGCATGATAGAAAGGTTGATAGATTGATAGACAGAAACAAAAGGGAGATCATAGCTCCTCTCTGGGCACTGCCTGCTCAGGCTGACAGAAAAGCTGCTTGATGGCACCTGGGATTAAAACTGCAGTGTGGTAGAAACCTCCAGCTTAAAGAAGGGGCATGGTTTCAGACAGAAGCAGCCAGAGAAAAAGCAGCCCTGAGCTCAGGAGGATTCAGCACACAACCAAAGGACAGGACAACCTGCAAAGCCCTCCTGATCCTGCAGCTTCCCATATTTATCCCCTCCCAGCCCTTCCCAGTACACCTGCAAGGATTTCATGGAAATGAAGTAGCATTTTCCTGAAAGTGCTTTTTTTAATACAAAACTGGATGTGTTTTATTTTCTGTGCACAAAGCACCTTGTACTTCAAAAGCTATGTGGATTTCTGATATTTTTTCCCAGCCTTTCTTATTCACCATGTATTGGCCAAGGAAAGGACTTGAAAAAATAGAAAGCTATAATGAGGACACCTAAAAGTCTTACTCAAAGTGCCCAGGAAACAACTTTCACAGCACACTGCATTTGGAGCACCTGGGGGGCAATAAGACAATGTAGGGAGATATAAAATTTATTTTCTTGAGCGAACAGCAATAACCACATTTAGGCCTGTGGGGCTCCCAGTTAACCCACTGGGCACTAATATGGTGGCCTCATCCACAGGACACAGGGTTGCATTGGGGACTGGTGCTGGACACAGCAGCAGGAGTTTAAGTCCCTTCCTTGCTGTGTGCCTCAGTTTCCCCTTCTGGTAAATGGGTGACTGCAGCCCACCGTGCCCACAGTGCCCAGCTGCTCGCTGGCTCTGGGGCGCGCTATGTCACCCCTCTGTCCTACTCCAAGTGCCACTTGGTGGCAGTGTTTGAAAAGATTTCTTTGCTCGATGCCTACCTCCCCATCGGGATCCAGGAGAGGGAGTTTCTGGAAGGAATCACATTAATCTTGGCATCACAATATCTTCATTTTTTTCCTTTGTTTTCTTTTCTCTTTATTCACCATGCAAGCACTCCCAGGCAGTCTCCTTCCCTGCGTGTCAGTCACTGGTGATCTCCTTCTCACAAAACACATTTTCAAACACAAGAGTTGTGTTGCTTGGGCATTACCTTAAACTAAATCCTCCAGTGGTAAAAATAGCCTTTTCTGCTAAATTCCTCTGAAGTGTGTCTGCAGGTGGGGCAAGCTTAAGAAGGATCATGCATTAACTCAGGAGAAAAGCATCAGAGGAGAAGTTAATGACAAAGAGACAAATGAAGACAGGGGCATGACAACGTAATTGGGTGAGAGATGTTTCAGATCACCCTGCTGAAGGGGAGTCTCCTCTGGAAGATGCGGGCTGCGATCCTGAACTCTATATAAGACGGCCGAGAGCTGATCTGCACCAGACTGCGCTCCTGAGGCTCAGCACTCCCGCTTCTCACCCAGGTAAGCCTGGACGGACTTTTCACCCTCTCTGACTTTGCTACCAGCAGGAAAGCATGAGCTTCTGGCCATGAGGATGTCCCTGGAGCTGCCACTACTGAACTCTCCTAAAGGAAAGGAAAAAAAAAAAAGAGAGATCAGGAATTACATTATTCCATGTTTCATTAGAGATGACCTCCATTCACAGCTCTGCTCTGCTCCAGAGAAAGCCAAATGGGATTTTTTTCTCGCCTCTTACTGTGTGCCCCATGCCTTTCAGCTCTCACTGTCCCTCACCTCTCCAGCCGTCACCTGCTGGTCCTCACACCCAGTCATCTCTGCAGCTGAGTTTCATTTTTCAGATTTGTTTTCCTGTGAGAT